ACGCCAAACGCATCGCCGCCGTTTTGCCGTCGCGTTTTGGTTTCATTTAAAAGACTCGAAACGCCATGTCCAGGTCATTAAAAAGACATTTTCAGCTGCCTGGGGACCCTTCTTCCATCCTCCGGGGCTGCCCTTGGCAGCATGGATTCCCGTGAATATTCGTTGTCCTGTGCACCCCCTCCCCGTCCGCGTCCCGTTACTGCCGAGCCGCGGCACAGGCTCGTCCCACCGGCGAGGGAAACATGGAAAAGAAAAATGGCAACTGCTCCGAGGGTTTGATTGGGAGCCGTCAGCCTGTGCAGAGGCTGGAGCCGAGCACCGGAGCCCCCTACTCAGGCTTTGGGATGCCTGGCTCGGGTCAGTGAGTGATGCTGTCACGGCAGCCTGGCCGGGATCTCCCGCTCGGCACAGCAGCCTCGGGAAGGTGTGCTGTGGGGAATGAGAAAGGGAAAAATTCCTCCCACCTTCCCAGGCTGATGGAGCCATAAATCAGGTGTGATAGATGAGCCGGGTTTAATTCTTCTCTTCGTGTACGTCTGACACAGCCCTTTCCCTGCCGGGCTGGGGCGCGACCAGAGGCGGCCGTGACTCACAGGCAGGGGAGAGCGTCTTTGGGAAATGGAAATTGAAGTTCCGGGGCCCCGGGCTAAAGCCAGGCTTTGCTGGGCCGTTCCAGCCCCATCCCAGAGCAGCACCACCAGGAGCTGCCCGTGAGTGGCTGGCAGGCTGTCCCAGAGAGATGCCAACCTTCAGCCCCTCTTCCCAGCTTTGGCATTGCCTTCCTCCGTAAATGTCTCCCTGGGAAGCTGCTCTAGAGCAGAGCTTTAATTTTATTCTTTTATCTTTTCTTTTCTTTCATTTTTATTTTCTTTTATTATCTTTTCTTTTTTCTTTTCCTTTCTATTAAAACACAGTTGTTGCGGGTTGCTGGGGCCGGTAACAGTGAGGGGTTGGATGATGGCAGGGACTGCTCCGGGACACCCAGCCCTGCCCCAGGCATGGCTGCAAAACCCCGAGGAGGTCCAGAAGGGCCTGGCCACGTGTGGTCCAGGCTCAAAAGCACTGGCAATATCTGTCTGTCCATCCATCTGTCCGTCAATGCTTCAACCCATCTGTCTGGGGTTAAATCCAGCCAAGCCCCCCATCCCCCAGCCTGGCTGCCATCACACACTGGTGCCGGTGCTTTAATTCCCTTTTCTTATTTATCATTGCAATTGTCTCTTAATGGCTTTGGCAGCCCCTCCAAGCCTCCTGGCGAGGGTGGGAGATGCCAATGTATAAATAAAAGCCATAAGTAAATAAATCCGGTTGGAGAGGAGGGTATTCATCCAGGCTGCCACAGGTGATGGCACCCATTCACCCGGGGCAGCTTTTCCCAGCCGAGTGCCCCAGATGCCCCCTGGGGTGACAGGCTGGTCCCCAGAAAGCTTCAGGGTGGCCTTGGGAACCTTCCCTCAAATTGTGGCTCTCTGGCTAGAGGAAGCCAGCACACACAGCTGCAGTCAAACCTGAGCTGAGGCTGGGGCTGCGACAGCAAAGGGGAGCAGAAAAAAAAAATAGCAAAAATCCCCAACCCACGTTTTAAATTAATTAGTGATGTCCCTGGTGACTCAGCAGAGGCCAAATGGAGCTGCTTCATGTTTTATGGAAGGGCTTTGCTGCAGGAGACTGAGGACAGCAAGGGACAAATGGGGTGCAGGGGGTGCTCCCAGGAGAGGTGGCCCCAGGGCTGGGTGTCAGCACCCGGTGTAGGGCCAGGGCTATTCTGGGTGCCCCATGTGAATGCACAGGTCCCTGGCCACCATGGTGCCATTGCATAATCATCTTTACATGCCAATTGGGATGGAAAAGCAGAGTTTTTCTCCCATTTCTGTGCCAGGCGCTGGGCACTGGTGGGAAAGGAGGTGTTGGGGCATGACCAGTCCAGTGCAGGTGAGATCTGTGACCTTCAAGGAGCAAGGAAGGACCAAGCTGCTGCTGCAGAATTTCCCTGCTCGTGGGTACACCAGGGACAAACCTTCAGGGAAGCAGCAGTCTGGAAGCACCCTCTGGCTAGGCTTTCCAAAGAGGGGCTGGGTAATTTAGTGTTTAACAGACGTTGAGAAATATTATTTCTTTTTGGTGAAATTGTCTAATCAATCACTTTTTAATTCAGCCTGCTCTGGCACCCAGGGTACCCTGGGAGGCTGTGGGCTGCTATGCAGAGAGAAATAAGGCTGGATCACTGCTGGGTACCCAGCTCTGGGGCTCAGCCCCACTGAGGGGAGCAGGCACTGTCCTCCCAAACCCACCCCTGCCTCTGCCAGCTCTGCCAGCTCCACAGCACACCCTATTTTCACTGCCCCTTTGCTCAGCATCCTAAGAGCCATCCTGGTGAGGAGAGGGGGAACAAAGCAGGCCAGCACAGTGGGAAGGGGTTCCAATGGCAAGGACATACTGCTGCTGCTGGGGGGAGATGGTGACTCAGGTTAGGGCAGAGGGAACGGGTTAAATCACAAACCAGACACATATGGGGCCAGGAGGGCGCTGGGGACAGCTGCCAGGCCTGTGCCCAAGGACGCCTGAGGGAGCAGCAGGTGCAGCCACCTCCGGGTTCCTGCCTCCTGCCAAGGCAAAGCCATGGCACAAAACCTTCCCCAGCTTCACCCTGCAGCAGGTGCCCTTTCCTGACCCACTGACAGCTCCTGGGCTGACCAAATCCATCATGGGCAAAGGCTGGTGGGCACTTTCCTCAAACCTTCAAAGGGCTGAATCCCCTCAGGGACACGTGGCTCCTTAATGGTGGTGAAGCTTTGCCTAAAGCTTCCTCCTAGGTTCAAAGTTTTTCTTTGCCTGGCCATTGCTCCTCCAAGTGCTGCAATAGACTGAATTCCTCCCCGATGCCAGTTTGGCCTCAGATTTACAGCCCAAGCCCCAAAATCCGCTGCTGCTTGTGAGGTCCTTTGAGAGAATCACAGCAGAAAGTGTTTATTTCCATCATAAAGATCTGCTTTAATATTTTAACATAAATCAAGCTGCGCTTTATGGTGATAATAAATTTGCTGGCAGAAACTGCCTTTGCAGCCTGAGGCTGTGGAGTAATTCAATTTGTTTGGCTTTAAGTGTAAGGAGCCGTAATTGAGAAGGGGGAAGTACAGATGTTTTAATTGAGTTTGCAGCTTGCACCCAGAGTTGCAGTAGGCTAATAGAGAAGAGGTGAGGGTCTCCATTACCCTCTCCACTTGCCATTTCTCCTTGGCCTGCAGACCCATCCGTCATGGCCATCCCCTCCAGGAATAGCTGCTCCGTGCCTACGCATGAGGAAGAAAGGGATGGAAAAAGAAGTCAGACTAAACCAGATGTATAATGTGCATTTTATTGGTTTTAATCCCATTTTTAAAAAACTAATTACAGTCAGGACAAAGCATCACGTGTGAATCTGCAATAATGAATTGCTACTGCTGATAATGGCCAAATAAAAATAGACTTATTCACGATGAGTGAGAGGAGAGAGCTCGTGCCCTGCACCACGGGGTCACCCAGTATCCCCTCAGCCAGTGCTGGCTCCACTGAACCATTCCCTTCTTGCTTTCTCCAGTAATTTTTAAGGCATTGCTATATCATGTTTTATATAAAAAATGTTCTCTGCTGTAGAGCTTCTTTCTGTTAATCACCCCAATTCCTCGGATATATTTGTTTTGCTGCTGTGCAAGGACAGCAGGTGTCTGGGAATTCATGGTTATTTATTTGAGAAGCACTCATGCTCCTTGGGGAGCACAGTAAGGTACCATGGCAAAGGCTGGGGCTGGAACACAAGTGCTCAGCATCCCATTCCATCCAATACCTGGATCCAAGCAGCTCTTGGAGGTGCAGCCCCTCAGAAGTCACTGTCACACATTGTTGAGGGGTACAGGGGGACACACAGGCCAGGGAAGAGAAGGCACATCTTTAAATGTAAGAGATGGCAGGAAAGAGGGTGCCAGGCTGGGCTCCCTCCTTCCTGAGAAGGGAAGGGAGGGTGAAAGGACATGAAATAACAGAGAACAGCCCTGTCTCCTGGCTGCAATGAAATGTGAAGGCAAGAGACTGAAATGGGCACGTGGAGGGCAGGAGCTGAGCCAAGGGCCCTGCAGTGCATGGGCAGCTCAGGGCAGACAGCCCTCAGCCCCTCCATGAAGCCACATCTGCACACTCACGCAGAGGAACAGCACCCTCAGCCTCTCCAGCTTCCAAAGGCTCATTTCATCAGCATTCAAATCTCTCTCCAGCTCTGCCTAGCTCCCAGCTGCCACGCAGGTGGCTCCCAGCTCAGCTGCCCCATCAATCTGCCCTCCAAACTACTGCTTCCTAAAAAAGACACCAGCACCAGATACCTCTAAAATACCTTCTTAATTTGGTACTGAAGATACCAAAGCAGCTCTCCAGGAGCACTTGGGGATGCTTAAACCCACTAGCAGGGGCTGCAAATGCCTGTTTAGGATCAAGCTGGAGAGAAGATGAACAATCTCTCCAGATTCTCTCCAGGCAGCTCAGCAAGGACACAGTGGCGGTGCTCAGGCTTGAGAGGTGCAGGGTTTTGCTTTAAAAGCTATGAAGTGGTTTTATACAGCTCCAGGTACTTGCATATTCCCCCAGGAGGAGCACTTCAGGTCATATGGAAACCAGAAAGTCCTACTTGAAAACAGAGCTTGATTAGAAAGAGCTGCAGTTCAAAGCTTGCTTTAGTGAGTGATGACATTTAATACTGCAGCAAGTGCAGAGGGCAGGAGGATCTGATGTGCACCTGGCTTTGAACCTGCTTTGATGACAGGGGGTTTAAAATAGTTCAGGTGAAAACTTTTAAAGTTCTTTCTTCTGTCAGGAAACCCCTTATGATCTGTGCCCCAGGGCTTCTGAACACAGGACCCGGTGACAAAGTGGGGTCTTACAGTGACCACAGTCATCCTAAAGCAGAGCCTCTCCTAGAGCTGCCTAAGGTAGGAGCAGCCCAATTCTGAAAGCAGAGCAGGAGCAGCCCCAAGCCCACCTTAGCCCTGTGCAGAAAGACAAGACAGGGTCAGGCCCAGTTCCAGCAGGGTTTCAGGTTTTGCTCCCTCGTTTCGGGAGCGCTGCTGCTGCAGGCAGGGCTGAGCCAGGGCACAGCCGCCTCCTCCTGGCACCAGCTCATTCCCCTGCGTTAACACCCACCTTGTTTCAAGGCTAATTACCCAACGGGAGCCGGGAACGCTTCAGTGTGCACAGCCGAAGCCTCTGGCGTGTCAGGAGTGGGTAATTAGCACCTCCCCAGCCCGCACCGATCCCGATCCTGGCCGCTGGAGTTCAGGCCTGGCTGCTTGTACCAGCCCCGGGCAAAGCTGAGAAAGGGAGAGGGGCCCTGCCAGTGGAAAGCTCCGAGTCCCGTGCTGGTGCTGAGGGCAGCAAGGCTGATTTCCCTTCCAGGGGGAAGAGCTGTATCCCTGCATGCAGAGGGGCATTGCTCTGCCCAACTGAGCTGTCACAGCACAGGAGAACAGGATGGAAATGTGAATGTAACTCCCAGGCTGGAGAAATCCAGCTCTAAGCAAAAGATCCCCTATTCAAGGCAATGTGCACAAACATGATAATGCTTCTAGAAAAAGAAAATGTAACAGCACAAAATTATTTCCTTCTGAATTAGGTCTATTTCCACCCTTATGCTTTCCTTCAGCTGGCACAGGAGGTTGGTCTGAAGGAGTCTCAGCAGTAAGAAGAGACTCAGTTATCCCAAACTCCTGCTGGATTCTGCACAGCACATTCCTGCCTTTGGGAGCAGAGACATTTAGTGATGCAGCCAAGGCTGTCTCTCTCCTGTGTGCCGAGACCTGCAGCACACACAGAGCCACAGAGGGACAGACAGAGAACGTGCTGCTCTGACAGAGCCAAAGGCAGGAACGGCTGGACACTGGTTAATGGTGCAGGCTGCCAAGGGCTCAGCCCCAGGGCTTTGTCCGAGAACCAGAACTGTAACGAGGCAGAGTCCACTCCACACACACCCAAAGTGGAGTGAAGAAAGTCTGTGTCACCAAGCCAACGGCCTGGAAACTTCCCTTCATACTGCCTTTCCCCCTCAGTGCACAGTTCCAGAGGGGGAGCTGAAATGCTGGAGTCTCTGGAGCTCCAGAGGGAGTGTGCTGCTACCCCCATCAGAGCTTTGACTCACTCAGGACAATGTTTGCAGTCACAAATATGAAGCAAGAGAAACCCCAAATGAGCACGAACACAATCCAGAAGCTGTGCCGGAAAGGGGAGAGGTGTTTGTTCACCGTCCCGCTGCCGAACACCAGCTGCGTGTCCTTGCGGCTGCAGTAGGCCAGGAAAGCTGGGATGAGGTACTGGATCCCATTGCCAGCATAGGCTCCCGTGATCCCCACCAGGGACTCCAGGTCGTGGGTGCAGAACGCCACCAGCACCGGGGGAACCAGCGTGATGGCAGGAAAGACAATCCTGTCCACCAGCCACGGGTAGGTGCCCCCCTCTCTGTGGAAAAGGGTCTTCCAGTTGTTGCGCAGCGTCACCGCAATGATGGGGAAGTTGGTGCTGATGGTGAAGACCGGGAAGAGGCCCAGGAAGTAGCGGATGAAGGCCACGCCGACGATGTCGCAGTTGGTGAAGTTGAGCGTGTACATGTCCATGAGGGTGTCGTTGCGGAAGCAGTAAATGGCAGTGAAGGACAGGAGGCTGTAGAACGCCAGGATCAGGACGTAATCGAGCAGCACAAGCTTGTTGACGTGCTTCTTCTTGGAGATGGGGGTGATGAGGGATGGCAGGGAGTGCTGGCACATGAAGGAATAGACGCACACCCCAAAGAGATTGCGGATGCCCGACAGCTCGGCCACGGACGGGTGACCTTCAGCTTGGCCTCTGCTGATGCGGATGAGGGCCAGAATAATCATGAGGATGAAAGCTGGAGACAGAGAGAAGGTCTCAGGTCAAGCCCAGGCCCATGCTCCTCATGACCTCCTCCCCCAGCACTGGCAGTCTTGGCACCGGCTTTCTCCTGCTATGCAAGAGCATCTCCTTATCTCTTTGATGCACCACCTTATCTGAGGGTGCTACATTAAAGGCAAGGTGCACAGGAATCAATCGTGATGTGCTGTCAGTGCCAGTCAGCAGATAAGGGAATGGGCTCAGGCATCTCCCTCCAGTCTCCTTCCCACAGGGACTCACCCTCCCACCCCAAGAGCACAGGGCTGTGCTGTGCCCTTCAGAAGCAGAAGGCTGGCATGGCTGGTGAACCCCAAGCCCTCAAGGGTTTTGGTCTGTGGATGCTTCTGCCCCACACACACACTGGTTAAATATTGTCATTTCAAAAAGGCTGAAATATGTTTGGCTCCAATCAACCCCAGTAATAGTCCTACACATTTCTAACTGGACTAGTGTTTTCAAGACCTCCCCTACATGCACAGAAGCAGCAGCTACTAGCAAGCTTTCCTGTCCCTGGGATCTGTCAAGCATGATAGAGCAAGAACTAGCCAGCCATTTCCTGGGTAGAAGGAACAGGCTGTCTGTAGCTAATCCCAGGGTGGAGAAGGCAGTCTGGAAGGGACTAAAGCAGCACTGAAAGACTGCTATTAAAATTCATCATTTCTAGACACAAAGTCTGCATGTCTACCCTTCACTTATGTCAGGAAAAAGCCTAACAACATTTTACAAAGCTTATTACAAATAACAACATGCCAGGGACAACATGAATTGAGGAGATTGGGCTAATGCCCTTATTACTCTGAAGGTGGAAATTTGAGCCAGAGCAGTTACTGTGAGACTCTCATTCCTACCATGGCATATAAAAGCAGTAGAAAATTAATTCTGGTGTCACAAAAATTGCATCAACCTAGGAAAGATGATCATCAGCTGCTGGAGTTAACAAGTAATGGGGAGAAAAGGACCTGCCTGGCAGGGCAGCAAGCAGTGAGCTTTACAGTTTGGTGCTGCAATGGGTGAGCCACTGTGGCTTGCACAGAGCTGTCCTTGCACCAGTCTGAGGTACAGGAACAGAGCTGTGAATTATCAGGTAATGAAAAAATCAACAAAATGCTGAAACAACTACTACAGACAACTTTGAATGTCATTAATATAAATCCAGAGGAATTAAACAGAGCAGTGCACAGTTCAAGTCCATAGCAGGCTGGCAGCAGTGCTGGGAGCTGGGCAGGCTCACCATGGGGTGACAAGATCACAGGCTGGCTCTGTGCCCAGCCCTGCTCCCCACAACAGGGGAGACTGGGAAACCCTGCCAGGGATGGGACTAGAGAAACCAGTTACAGACCAGTTAGGGAATGCTGCCTCACTTGTGCACAAAAATATCAGATTATTCTCACTGAACGTTGCCTCCCATATATCCCCAGCACTCCCCGACACCCTCTCTCAGAAATTCACGTTCTCCTGCAGCAAACAGCAGCTCCATGCTGAACCCTTCCCAAGCCACATGCTGCATTTCACCCTGTGCTGCCTCAGGAAACCTCTTGTTTCCAGCTGTTCCCAGCGACAGGGCACGTCTGCCAGCCCTCCCCAAACACCACACTGACAGCAGCAGGTCCATTCCTCCACGGTACCACGAGGCCAGGTTGTTTTGGGAGTGCTAGGCTCTACTTCCTCCCCAAGGGCAGTCACACAGAGCCACGGAAGGCAACAGCTCATTGCTCTGGGGGTGTGCAATTCCCCTTGCCTTCACTCAAGCCCAGCAGGTGAGGGGCACTGAGAACAGGGGTACAATTGTTGTGCCTCCCCCACTGCTCCCTGGAGGGGAGATGCTTGCCAGCCAAATCTGCTCAGCAAGAGACCCAGCAAGAGCTGTGTTCAGGTGATGTGACACAGCTGCACTCCCTGGGGTTGCACAGGCTACAAGGAAGAGGAAAGGATGCCCTGGGTAATAAGACAAAGCAGGCTGGGCACCTCTGGAAATGGATGACACTGTTCCTTTCCTTCTTGCCTGGCAGAGGTGGTCGGGCTCTGCAGCCCCATCCTGAGCTGCTCCCGTACCTGGGCTAAGATGTGGCTCAGTCTCACACCTCTTCCCCTGCACACCAGGACAGTGGATCTCCTCATGCTCTGCTCAATCTATTTCCATCCCCCAAACCCACTCTCACCATTGGCTCAAAGCCCCACTTTCTGCATCAGTGCCAACAGGACCAGGGAAACTTTCAGGCAGGCAGCACCCCATCCTTGAAGGATCTCCCACAGACTCTCCTCTGCCCTGACATGTGCTTTTCTGGCAGGGAACACTGAAGGAGCAGAATTCTTGTGGACTCCCTAAATGATGGATGGTCTTTGGCTTATGCAACTAGAATTTAATATATTTGTTTTTCATTAAATACGCATTTCAGAAATTTATTATAATTGCAAGGAGTGAGGATCCAATACTAAGATCCAAACTAGTTTTGCTTCCAACAAGGCAAGCTCTGCTTCCCTGCCTGAGCACTGGTGCACTGCAGATGCAAGACCCTTGAGAGGAAAGGTGCTGAGTAAACTGGAAACCCCCCTGCACAGCTCCAGCCTCAGAAAGGACAACAAAAGCGCTGCCCCATGGTTGTTTTCTCTCAGTCCCTGAGGCAGAAGAGTTTCTCACTCCTGGAACTGGAGAGCTAAAACACTTGCCTGTCAAATTTATCTCTCTGTCCCTGAGAGGAGGCGAGCCAAAAAATGCAACTCTGAAACCTAGATATGGTTTGGATGATAAATCAAAATGAAAGGAAGATGACAGGCTGATGGACAGGCAGCTCTGAGCAGAAAAGAAGCAGCACAAGCTCCTCGGGCACACACAAAGCTCACTTCCCCTACCTGGGACAGCAGGCTGAAGGCAGAGTCACATGACACTATTCCATGTCACCTACTGTTGTCACATCAGCTGTCCAACAGCATTCCTTCAGCACAAGAATCCTGGTGAAGACATGGATTCACAAAAAACCCCTTGATGCATTCCTCTCCACACAGAACAGAGGACACAAGCAATGTGTTCCAGGTATGAAACACTTTCAGACCACGATCAGCAGCACTCAGAGCCACAAAGCAAGGTTGACAGTGATGGCACCTTGGATTGTTAGATGGTTACATGAAAAATTTGCTTTAAGCCTTGTTTTATATAAATGCTTAAAAAGCAATCAAGGGTTTTGCTTGTCCTGATTTTTCCACAGTGTTAAACCCACTCCAAGCCCCCACACCACAGGCTTGGCAGTCAGCAAGGCACAGAGGCCACTTCTCATCTCATCTTGTCTCTTCTAGATGTTCAAGCATCATTTTTAGTGAAGGATTTAAGTGAGCCTGAGGAAAAAAATAAGGAGGGGGTATGCCATAAAGGAAAATTGTGATGAATCTCATCCCAGCCATCCAAATGCCTCTCCTGCAGACTCTCTTTGCTCCCCTCACTATCTGAGGAACAAATGTTCTCAGATAAAGCAGAGCTTGCAGTCAGCTACTGCTCCTCTCCTGCTTGACTCAGGAGATGTTGATTCAGAACAGGGCAGTTGTGCTCTGGTCCTTGCAGGTGAAGTAGGGATTAATATGGATGAGCAGACGTCCAAAGTAGTACAGTTTGGGAAATATGTGAGTCTGGGGATATTAAGAAATACATTTTTGTGCATTTTGATAGAAACATAACAGAGCTGCAGAGAAGCAGAGAAGATAATTTAGCCATTCTGAGTTTAAGGATCATTTTACAGAGTCAGAGAAAACACCTCTGTAAATGAAAAATGGAGTTTGTACATGAGTTTCATCTCTCTGCAGAAAGGCTACTGCAGAAAAGAAAATAAGTCCAAGCCTCAAACACATTTTTTTCCCCTGTCATGGTAGGTTCCTGCAAGAACTGATGCTCAGAATGAGCTTCTGGTGTAACCCTCCTTGCCTCCCTGCAAGACATGGTACTTGTGAGATGTTCCCATCTTCTCCAGCGCTGTCGCTGCTCCCATTCCTCCCTGTGCAAGGAAAGCCTGAAGAGAACATCCCCCAGCTGCCTGCCCCCCTTGCAGGGCCCAGAGATCAGTGGTGTGCAGCCACCCCACGCCTGGCTGCTCCCCTGCCCCAGCCATTTGTCTGTGACACGTTTGTGGCAGGGCCATCCGTCAGCGGCGCCTGACGGCGTGACAGAGCTTTCCTGTCCAGGCAGGGAATCAATATGCCAGGAAATAATGATAATGGATCACCCCATCCCAGTGCTGGCTTCCCTTTCATACATTAGGCACAGTGATGGATCCCAGGAAAAAGACGTTTTCAGGAGCTTCCTAAACCCAGCTTCCTAAACCCAGATTTCTCCCCACCTCAATCCTGTATCGAGTCAAAACACAGCAGCCCACTCTTAAACAGAGGAATAGATCTCATTTAGTTTAACCTTAGGCAGTTTTTTTTCATAGAAAGGGCACAAAACCAGGAGTATCTGCTCTGTACACACTGAACGGGCGAGGAACACGTCAAGACAGCCCTACCTTCTGCATCCCCACCTGACACTTGTGCTGTCTACTTCCCTGCTGATGTCTTTCTAGGATGTTGGAGCCCCTCCTCAGAGCCATCTGGCTTCCAGCAGTGATGTGGGCAAGCTGAAGAGCCCACTACAACTGTGGAATCACCAGGCATTCTGGATTCTTTGTCATTTGAAGTATTAAAGCACAGCTGGAGTCCAACATGCTGGCAGAACAAAGTACCTAAAATTAAGACATTGATTTTTAAATTTAAAACTCATTTAGCTAGTTTCTCTTGCAGAAGCTATATCCTGCCACTTGTTCATGACCTCCAGTTCTCCACAAACTCCAGAGCAGCAACTGATTAACTTCTCCAGCCTTCAGAGGGGGTTTCTATATGAATTGACAGTAAAGAGGTAACATGAAAACCAGGTTTGCTCCATTAGATGTGGGAGCTGGAGAAGTTAAGGATCGGATTTGACAATGACAGAGCCTAAAACACCATCTCTAGGAAGAT